TTCGTACCTATCATATCTTTTGCAATTCGTCAGCCTGTATACTCAAATCTCGAACTGCGCAGGAAATTTCGAAATATCACATCTTGGAATAACTTCGACTACGTGTACCCTATATTTCGAGGAGACATTTTTAACAGCGTGTAGATATTGGGCATTACTTCATCGAGGCGCATGACGTGGTAACTAGCTGTCCATTAACGGGAAAATCGTTAATCACGCGACATCGCGGGGCAAATGGGATCCGGTTAATTTTTCCGAGGACCCATTAGACGGGGGAAGGATGACTGAACTGTGAAAATATAATTTGGACGATGTTACTTCCGAGGCGGCCGCCATGGCAGGGCGAGATGACAGAGTTGCCGGTGCGCCCTGCCACTTGACAAATTTCGCCCCTAATAGCGAGCCGGGGCGGCGCGGTTTGCAGGAGTGCAACGCGTACGTGGCCTTTAAATTAATGACACCACTAAGTGCGGGGCTTTAATTAGAAGCGGCATTTTTTTTCCCTCGCGAGAGCCGCGCCATCCTGCCCCGAAGTTTGGCCACGCATTTCCCGCCGCTTTCCCGCAAACGATGCTTAGCGTTTCCCTTCCTCGACGCAGAGTCGCGCGACGTGGTTTATTTGTTTGCACCGTTCAAGGAACCTCCAAGGATATCCGTATACAATGAAATTCTTGACTTTTTCAATGTTTCGCCAGTACCCCCTCGGTCTGGAAAGAATTCGGAAGAATGAACAGTCACTGAGAACTGATAAAGCTCCGTAAAGGGAAAGAAGCGCTCGGAATTCCCGGATACACTTGTCGGATTAAACCTTTTTTCCCCTAGGGTTGCAGAAAGTCGTAAATTGTCTAGGAACACGGCTTACAAATTCGAGAATTTGTCGAGGGTGGAAATGGTTGGCTTCTGCCCGAATCCGTTTGATGCATTGCACCTTCGGCTGCAACAAAGAACTCTATCGTTTCACGTAACCGGGGAGTATCTCGCATCGGGTGGGACTGAAAAATTTCATAGAATTTCAGGTAACCTTTTCGATTACCCGAATTCCTACCGCGTCGGGGAAATCAGAACGAAACGTAGCCCGTTTCGTGAGGTATCGATATCGAGGGTCATCGATAAGCGAAGTGCACCCTCCACGACTTCAGAGAGCCGAGTGATAAGTTCGGACTCGGCGGAAGGCCCTTTTTCCGGCTCGAGATTGGTATCAATTTCGACTTCGGCGTCGATTCAAAGAGCTCTAGAGAATTTTAATTTTTCCACCTGGCGCGAAGCGATCGCAATTCGAATCACGCGCCTGGCCAGATGTCGAATTGTTACTCCAATCAGCTGGTACGTGCCGCCGTTCAAGATGGCGGCGATTGGGACGCCGAGAGGGAGTAAACGGAAGTGTCTGCATTCAAAGAGCAATCGACTCCCGACTTTACTGCCCGACCGCTGGCTCGGTCATTTCTCTTGTATTATGGCCGCCGAATAAACAGGGGAAGATATAAATCCGAGGACGGGGAAACGACACCACTGAAACGTACATTACACGCGGAGACGGATACTTTCAGGAGCATTTTTCTAACTTTGCGATATCCGTGACAAATGATTCGAAAAATCGCGAGATTTTAGGGGGTTAATCGCACCCTTTCTCGCATATACATTCTATCGTTCAGATCCTTCGCATTATTTTTTCTTATTTTATGCCCTATACTTTGTCATGCCAAAGGTGACTTAAAGATACAGCAAAATGAAATATTATTTTTCTAGGGCTAATTTTCAATCGTGTTACAAGAGTATGTATTGAAACGTAGAAGACAGAAGAAACGCCATTTTTTAGGGTGGGGTAATACACGTGTATATATATACACGTCAGATGCGATTCCAGGCTGCAAAGAGTTAATTATATTGATTAGAATTAAATATTTTTTTCTAGGGAATGCATTAAGGAAAATTGACAATTAGTGCTTTTCAAGGGTTACTTATCAACCAAAATGTAGAAGCCGCCAAGACACGACGCTATTCTTCACAGAGAAGCACGTACATATATATACTAACTTTCTGTACCCGACTTTGTCCGGATACATTTTTTACCCGCTGTACAAGACTTGCTCCCTGTCTCATTTCACTATTTCTTTATTACTCAGCGCATTTTTGTAATGTCGAAATGACATATACCCTAAAACCGCAGGAAAATCGGTTCAGTATTTTCTGAGATCGTCGCGTACAGACAGATGGACATTGTCTTTTATATTAGGTATTTTATATATATACATATATATTACGTATATTAGGATTAGGATGAGGGTAGGATTAGGATACACCGTGAAACTCAATATAGTAAAAGTCACATTAAAAAGTAACTTCAGGATGCAGAGAGTTGAGTAGATACATTAAGTAAAGGGAAAGGTTATTATTTCTCTAAGGCTACTTTTCGGTCGTGGCAGGAAAGCATGAATCAAAACATGGAAGGGATTGGAAGGAAACGCCATTCTTTAGGGAGTAGAGCGGGTAATACGTATATAATGGGCTTTCATCCAGGGCGGATTTGGACTCATCGGATTAAGGGTTGATCCCGGCATGGACGTCCGCCGAGTTTAAGATCCGGCGGAAGCGTCTTGCCAGTAGAAATTGGAATTAGGTCCGGGAGGAAACCCCGTTTCCTTTCCACCGAGTCAACACCGACTATGCGGAGTACAATCGAATCGCTGGCATTTAAAGTTCTATAAATCCACTTCCCGCAAGCTCTGCATTGGAAGCTTAAAATCCGTGAAGGTGTCCGGATCGGCGAAAGGGATTCCCTGCATAATTTCATATAAAATTTTTGCCCATAAAACGGCACCGTAAAAGGCGATCCACTTTGAGGCAGCGATGGTAATTCGCCTGGTGTAATTACGGTAATGCTTCGCAGTAATAACATGCCCGGAACCGCGTCATCGGTGTTCTAAGTTGCTAATAGAATTCAGGTTAATTAGATACCTCGTCGGTGATGTTACGTTTCCTTGGTTGAAACGATATATAAACGTCTTGCGCCTGACGTCCTTTTCCGAGGAAACAACGACCAGGGATTATTATTCGGGTTAAGATCTTCATAAAACGCGAGCAGATTCTATTGAGACGTGCAAAAATATAATTCATAATGGGCGCGATGAAACGATTCCACCGGGTGCTTCGTCATATCGTCCTGCCACGTGTTGTGCTTAATTTATGTAAATGTCGCCGTCGCGAGAAGAGGACCGGGGTGCTTTGATTTTCATAAGTGAAATATGTATCTCGCGGATCCGAAATTGAAAATAATTCGGACGTCTCCGCAACGGATGTACATTTATCGTAATGAGGATTCCCGCATCGTGTGTTTTCCTGTTCGGTCGGACTAATTATACCCCTGTTGAGTTACATGCTCATTAAACTCATTGTTAGGAAAATTAATAACGCGGGAAAATGGGCGGTAATAAATAATTGGCGCTCGTTGTGCGAGCGATAGAGAGGTAGGAAGGGGGAGAAATGTTATAAATTAATGCCGTTGCAAATATTTTTCCCAGAAAGAAATGTACCCTTAAATATGTTGATACAAATGGAGAGTGGCTGCGCTCGAAATTATCTGTAGATAAATATTTCCTCGGGGCACGTAAAATATCCAAGACTAATTTAGTAGATAATTTATAAAAGTATTGTGGAGAGTTGTCTTTCTGCTTTAAACATTTCCTGTTGCGGAGTGAAGTATTTTGAACCTGAGCTACGCATCAGAATCCAGTCCTCGAGGAATGCACGTGCTTCGGAGCGTTTTAATTGAAGCCAAATGCAGATGAGACCGAGCTTACGCGACAACGAGAAAGCTTTCCCAACAAAGTTAAAAAGATTCACTCTCGTCGCAGGTAACGGTGAGACACGCTAAAATTAGTCGTCAGCGAAAAGCTGGTTTACCTCACCCATAATAAGAGCACTCGCGAGATGAGTCGACATAACACTGCATAAATTCTCCTAGGTCCCCGAGGACGACCCTTCGTGTCTAATTATCATTTTGTCCCTTCATTCTTTACTCGTTACGACCCCAAGTCAAGCAATTTCGTCTAAATATCAATATCTAGTTTTCTCCTCGCAAACAGCAATTCCGAGCGTATTTTTCAACCAATCGAGCTCAACGAGTACTCATTTTAAAGATAAAATGTTGACATGTGTTTATATTGGAGCAATTTTAAATAAGTGGTAATTTTTATAAGAAAAAAAATGCAACAGTATAATTTTCATGCTCTTTTGACTGCGAAGGAGTTACTGAATCGAAAATCGCTCCCACATAAACACGCGTTATTTCTCAACAAAACCAGCTCAACGAGTACTCATTTTAAAGATAAATTGTTGACATGTGTTTATATTGGAGGAATTTTCGATAAGTGGTAATTTTCATATAAAAAAATGCAACAGTATAATTTCCATGCTCTTTTGACTGCGAAGGAATTGCTGAATCGAAAATCGCTCCCACATAAACACGCGTTATTTCTCAACCAATCGAGCTCAACGAGTATTCATTTTAAAGATAAATTGTTGACATGTGTTTATATTGGAGCAATTTTCGATAAGTGGTAACTTTCATATAAAAAAAAATGCAACAGCATAATTTCCATGCTCTTTTAATTGCGAAGAAGTTGCTGAATCGAAAATCGCTCCTACCTGAACACACGTCAACATTACCTTTAAAACGAGCACTCGTTGAACTTGATCAGTTGAGAGACACGCTCAAAATCGTTGTCCCGGTGGAGCACTTTTTTTGGGTGAGTTAAAAAAACCCTTGAATCTACATACTTTTTCAAGAGAATAGAAATTCTTCTTCTCATATTTTCTTTCTACACATTTATGATGTGACGACGTTGGGTGAAAATGACTCAGTTTCGTTTCAGTACCAATAAATACAGAATCCCCGTACCTTCTGCGCCCTAAATTTGTCGCGCAGGGAAGAGGACGGAGACATTAAGTGTGTTCGAATTGCAGATTCCTCTGAGTGCCCTGGGAAGTTTCGCACGGCCTTATAACCGAGTTTGAGGAGCCGCGAAAAAGCTCTCCCAGCAAAGCCGAAGAGTGCAGCTCCGGTCAGGCGCGAAGACGAGGAAACGCGACGAGACGCGAAGCTTCGCGCCATACAACCCTGTCCATGGGGTACGTAATAACACTCGAAGAAGCAGCCGGGGTCGGCATAACGTAACATAACCTTCCTCAACCTCGGGGTATACGTTTACGAGTGCTTTACCCCGGCAAACTCGCAGGGGTCTTCTTCTCTCGACCCAACTCCCAGGACCTGGTCCCCTCCGTCTCCGACCTGGGCGCCTTTCGCTCGGCTAATTCCGTTCCTTATTTCCCGGGCCATAAACACGCGGAAGAAATCTTCCTGCTCGTAAACCGGAAACCCGGCTAGACCACCAAACCGGAAGAATGCGAGCAACCCCTGCCTACCGGAGAACACCTCGACGTCGCAGCACGCCCGGAAGCAACCCCTTCCGATTCGCAATCTCGCCCGGGGCTCGAAATTCTCGGACCACGCCGCGAAATCACCGCGATTCCCTTTGACGTTATGAACATGAGGAATTCGGGAATCCCTTGGCATTCCCTGGATTTTTCATAGGACGGGGGGTCGCCGTAGTTTCGCGTAATGGAAATTCTCTGGATGGGCTACTGGCCGGTTGCACGTTTGACCGGATGCACCCTGACGAGAACTAGAGGGTGCATTTTTTACGGTTAGGTGGAATGGTATATTTACTCCGCAGGGAGTATATAACTCGAGCAGGCAGAATGTGTTTCTAAATTTCTTTTAACAACAATTCAGAAATTTCTTGGGATTCCCTGGATTTCATGGGACGGAAGATGGCCGTCGTTTTCTGTAATGGAAATTCTCTGGATGGGAAACTGGTCGGTTAAATGTTGATCGGGTACACTCTCCGGCTGACAAGCAGGGTGCATTTTCTATGGTTAGGTGGAACCGCACGTTTACCCTGTAGAAAGTATCATTAAAGCGAGCAGGACGTATTCGTACATGTTATTAAATAACAGCAAGAATACAGGTTTCATGAAAATTTGGGGAACTTCTTGCTTGATAATGTTACCAATTGTTAATGGGAACTATTTCATATTGCCTTCTGGTAACTCCACCTGTCGTTTTCGTACAATAATTATAAAGAAATCGAAGTAAAACTCCAGAAATCTCCTGGATTCATGCCTTCTGCGGCTATAATTGACTGCAGAGGGACCCCCTGCGCCATCTGTGATTTCCAGGTCAATTAAATTTTCACTCCGAGACCTCGTATTCCCATCGTTTTAGCATAAAAGCGCATAAAACACTTTGTTTTGCCTTTATCCCATTCAAATTCGAGTTTATCGATTACCAGAGTGTTCTAAATTGTCGTACAATTGTCCTGACCCTTTCGTTTCTCATATCAGAGCCTTCGATAATTGTATATTGATCGAAATGTGAGAGCTCGACGCCATTTTGGTTCTGGTTTGGGCTAAGTTAAACAATTTTAATGAAAAACCCAAATTTTGAATGTGTCAGGACAATTCTTAAATGAACACGAGTAATGTGTCAAAGTTTCGGACAGTTTGGTCTAGTACCCTTAAAAAAAAGTGTTGTATTCCAATCGACTGATTTGAAGGGCGTTTCACTTCACTTTAATTGATCGCGCGATAAAGTTATTTTGAGTGCAAACATTTCTGCAGGTCCAGCGGGGTGTTAAGGGTAAAGCGATACCGGGATATGTAATCTCACCCTTAGCGTTCTCCTTTCTTCTCGCGACCATCTTTCACGGGCAATGTTAGCGCCCTCTATTTTGCCATCCCTCTTCCGGGCAAGCCCGGCGAAAGGTGCAAGATATAATGAAAATGTGTCTTCTTTCAGGACTGCTTTTACACGGAAGAAGGTACAGCGGGCCCCAAAAGAAAGGGAAAAAAAATTTGAAAAGGACAAAAGAAGAAAAAAGCCGACGTGCTCTACTTTAGGTACACCTCGTACGTCGTTGCGGCGAGAAGGCAATCCTTCATGCAGACCTTCCAGCACCCTTCTCCCTTCCTCTGTCAACCACCCTAAAACCACTTGAATCAATGTTACGAAAATGTTATAACACAACAAAAGAATGCGTGTCTTCGAAACTATATTCTGAAGTACAAAAAGTCCTAATATATTAAAAGAAAACTCGGTAGAACCACATGGTTTGCGATTTCAAGGAAACTGGGTTGTTAAGGCTTTAAACATATTTTTAAACTTCACTTGTATACACATATCTAAAAAACATTTGATCTTAAAATCCGTTGGGATTTTTGCCTCAGTTTCTTCCAAATTTTATATCTTTTGTCTACGATGTTCTTGCCTCTGGGTAAGACCGTGCACTACTGTAAAAACACGGCAGGGATTTATCGTGGAAATGGGAAAAGAATGAAATCTATGACGAGCGATCGATCCGTTGACTCCGATCGAAGTTTCGGGTATCTTGAAGTCAGGGGTTGGAGGGATTACCGAATCTCTGTAAAAACACCCAAGGGGGTGCAATCTCGATCGCGGGGTCGCCGGGAGGGTGGTTTTCGAACGAAGTCAAATCAGACGGATTGGAAAGCCTCGGTCTAGATTCGGGATGTCTGGTCGCGGCGTTGGCTCGCCGGTATTTCCATTCCGGTTGCAAATCCCGCGATCAACCGGCTGGCAAATCACTTTCAATCCGAGACGGCCTTCCTTCTCGTCCGGGACCTATCCGGGACCAGTTCGAGAGGAGCACTCGCCCTGGCCGACATAATCAGCCCCCGAGTACTTACCCCGCTCTTCCGAGCCTTATCCCTCCCCATAGAATTCTTTCCAAGGTGTAACTTCTTTAAACTTGAATCCCAAAAGTATGACAGGAATTGTATGAAGAATCTTATCGGTTTACCCTCAAGGGACTACTTCACGATAAGTGTCATAAATTTATTACGATTTTATGCAGCTTCTTTTTTAAATTCAAACCAACTGGAGATACCTTTTAAAATTAAAAACTATTAATCACGCTTATGGATGAATTTTCTAATTAGGTCGTGTATGTATGTTTGCGATTAACTTGTACGTTTCCGTAGAGGTGAGAATTATAAGCGGGGACCAAAATGGCGGTCTCGCGTCTCGCACGCGACGACCCAATTTCTCACTTAGATCGCGCAACGAGTCGCAGTTTGCGGCTCGTGATTTCATGTCATTTTTACGCCGGCTCCGGCCGCGTGCGGAAAATGGATCGGCCGCTCGATCGGCAGACGTATTTCAATTTCGCGCCCGAGTGGCCCCGTCATTTTCTCGTATGTAGAAAGTGTCAGGGAGTAATGAAAAATTTACCACGCGGCGACGACCGCGGCAGCTCACGGGGGCGCGTTGTCGCGTTTGCGTTGCAAACGACAACGCGCGACATCCCCCTTGTTCCTGGCACGATGACAGAAAACGCGTTTATCGCAAAAAGATGCATCCTGACTGCAGTCGCAGCGTGCGCGGAAAACTTTGCGTCCAATTTCTGACTTTCCGCTTTATAATGAATTCCTTCAGCGATTATAATTTTATAGTAGAATTTTCTTTTTCAGGGGGAGCTTCCATCGCTGATAAATCGACACTTAGAAAAAAGTTATTTACCTGAAAACAATGTTTTGTTAACGTTATATATATAGTTGCCCTAGTAACGTGCAAAGAAATAATTATGATGTTGGGACGGCAAAATGGTTTTGTTCATTTATACGGACTACTTATTTGGGTTTGGAGAGTGTATTTCTGCTAATCGATTGCGTGATTGCCTGAACCATGAAACGTTTGATTCAATCACCTATATTTTTAATAGAAATGTCATTCTGATGGTAAAAATCATGTAAAACGAGTGTGGAAATTATTTCCTCTTTCTTTGAGTCAAGCAACAAGTATTTCTCTCAGTGTATGGTCAGAAGTAATGTATAATCAGAAAAAAGGTACGGATTTTGAACAATTTTATACCTGCACTGAGAAAACAAAGTTGGTAATTTCAACAAAATATGCATTGCGACAACAAAGTCCTACGATCAAATACGTCCAAAGAATTGCCAGACTGAGTAAACAAAATCCGTTTTAATTAACAACGCTAATTTTTCTTCCGACGAAAATAATTGTTTCCCACAATTATATATAATTTCGGCAACAATATATATGTTAACAACATATATTTCTTTCAATCAACTCCTCTATTTTCTCTGGGTAGATAAATCTTTCGGGACTTCCATTTTCAGACGTGTAATCCACTTTTTCCTCCCTCCTTCAGGTAAATGCCCCGCGATGCATTTTCTTCGATATATTCTCGCAGTCTCGAGCAAGATGCACCCAATTTCGCGGAACCGCTTTTCCATTTTCGGCTGACAAAGAATCGGGGAAGAGATTGATGTCTGGAAGCGGTTCCTCTCACGATGGGTGGGTCGGATCGCGTACCAAAACTGCATTGTATTATAGATACGTAACTGCGGGGGTTGCAGGGCGAGTCCTCGGAGATCTCACAGAATTGCATCCGCGCACGAACGCACGTGTTTACCGCAGGATAGGTGGTCGTCCGTACGAAATCGTGCGTTCCAGAGAACTAATTATTCCCGCGTTGAGATAAGAGGAACGCGATATTCCCGGCCAAGTATGCGCACCGCGGGGGTGCAGCGATGTAGGGATGAGCGGAGGTGCAGGGATGCAGCGATGCACCGACGCGACCCTTGCAGCTCGGGAAAGGAAATCCATGGAGCCGGAGGGGAAGCGACGCCACATGAGGGAGGGGGACTTTAAACGGGTGAAAATAGGGAGTTGGATCCGGTCCAATGCGAAGGTAATCGGCAGTCGTCGAATTCGGGCAGACGGGAACAACTCCAGGAGCTGGAACTGGACCAATGAATTCGCGAGTGCCCTGAGACTTTTTACCCCGCTGGATAACAAGTAGCGGGTACAAATGGTGGTTCCGAAGGATCCGGGGAAATTCTTAACTCGGTCGGAGAGGACTTGTTTTGAGGTTTCCGTTTCGTATCGATACAGCGACGGAGAGATTAAGTCGAATTGGCGAAATTGACGAATCACCCATGTACTTAATATTCTGTCATTGTTTCAAGTTCGCAGGGGTAAGTATTGTTGGAAGGGGACAATTCGGGTTAATTAATATATAAGTACGATTAGGTAGAATTTAAGTAAAATATAGGTAGGTTTTACATTACTGGTTGCATTACAAGACTGGTTGAATGCGTTTTCACCCTTACCTGCCCCAACTCGAGTCGGAATGTTAGCCTAACTTCTATATGGGATACAAATTTCGACTTGCGAAACTAGCTTATACGTTTCTCTAAATGACCTATATCCTACATTCCTGATTATTTGCGAGCAATAATATGGTTTAGATTTACCTCTGCCTCTATTTATTCCTACCTTTGTTTCTGGAGCGCCTCGAATTAAACCAACATGCACCGAGGAAAAGTAGTTGTGAAATAATCGCCAGTTCCTAAAAGAGATATGATATACAACTGCAGAAAGAGAGAATAATTTTACAAATCGTAACTTTACAAACTGGACTTATATGTCACATCCTTTTTAGGAACTGGCGCTTATTTTACAGATCGTGTGGTAATGTTTAATACTATTGTTTCTCAGGGTGTATTAGAAGGTGCCCCGTCATCCTATCTCTCCTATTCTTTACTGTTTCCTCCATATAAGTATTTATATATAAAATTTTTAATATCTGCCTATAATATTTCGGATGCCGATACACTGATTAAGATCGATCAATATACATGTTTCTACACAATTAAAAGGATTAACAGGTAACCTGTTTAGCGGTTAGGCTTCATTAAAGTTTCCCGCGTTCAAAATGAGATGAATTTCGAGAGATAATCCCAGTCATTGGATGAGGGATATCCTGTTGCCGAAAATTCGGTCTTGTCAGGGCTCAAGAAGATCTTTGTACCTTACAGAGTGTAGCAAAGTCGGCAGGAGTTACCGAAAGGTAAATGCAAAGAGATTGGTTCGAGCCAAGTACGAGGTGGTTTAACTTAGATATTCAGCCAAGCTACTTCGCTTAACTCTGGTCTCGGTACGAGTGGAGTTTCAAGTAAACATCCGGTTAAAGCATTTTCCCCTTTCCGCCCTCTGCAGTCTGATTTTCCTGATGGGCCGATAGTTTCGGTCTTCTCGGATTATAACAGGCCGCTATCGATAGAATTCACTTTTCTCCCATTTTCTTTGACTTCCGTAACAAAATGCTAATGCATCTCGAGTAGAGGCGAAAGTCTTTGAGTCTATGTCTTGAAGATCGATCTTTTGAATCGATTCTTTCGTCAATCGGTTCTTTCTATTCGAGATCGTAGCAGCTACTCATCTCTTTATTTGCTGTAAAGAACTTCGTCCCGAGTTGAGCCATATGGCGAACAACAATGAGTCATATATCAGGGTGAGTACATTCATAAAAAAAGAGTTTAACTCAATTCATCGTGTGCTTTAAAATATACACGGCATTAAAAAATTAATTCAATCCTCGGTGGGCTCGTCATCAGAGATATGGAACTTAAACTAAATCTTGACTGTCGAATTTATACCCACGCGAGTAAATTTGACAAATATATAAGAATAATAATAAAAAAAAATGATCATTCATTTCGTTCGTAGAATTTTCTCCCTCCCTCCGCACTTTTTGTATTTAATTGAACAAACGGTCGAAACGTACAAAATGACTGACGTTTTTAAAGGGATCATTTCTCTTCAGAAAATTATAACTGCAAAATGACTTTCCCTAGAGTTAAGAATTTCCCTCCAAACTTTATTCGAACTTCCGTTCGAGCCAGGAATTTTCGTTCAAATCCATCAAACTTTCGTTCCCCTCGCGGAACTAGTTACTCCCTTTATTCATCTGAAATTCTAAAACGCTAATGCGTTCTCTAAAAGTGGTCTACCGCTGAAACTGGTACCAAACTGCCGCG